ATAAAAACTACCAGCTTTAAGTTTCACTGGTGATATTTCATAGTAAGATCTTTTGTGTGTATCCTGGTATAAGCAGAAAGGATTCAATTATGAATTCTGCCCAATCGTTGGTATAGGTTAGTGAGGATAAAGTGGGCTATCATTTGTTGTAGAAAACGTTTTGTTAGCCTGGAACGAAGTGCCACACGCTCATTTTCTCGCATTCACTGTACTAACCTTGAAGTTTTTTTATAAGGACCTTAGTCTACTACTAGCTACTGCCGCACGTTCTAACTCGGCCAAAAAACAAACATCATGTTGAAGGGACTTTTTGGAGCAATCATTTGCGGACATCTGGCCAAACACGAATGACTCCAACTGCACGATGGATTGGTTGGATTTCTCCGTCGAATTTATCCGCTAATGCCAGGTGGAAGGTTTTAGACCATGAGCTGACTGACTGGTTGCTTTAGCTGCCTGGACGACAAAACTAGATTCATAATAAACAGCAAAATAAACTATGAACCGTTCCATTTCTTGGTATTAATCAAGTGATATCGAAAAGTGACTCCTGATTTCAGTCAAACATACCGGTCAAAAGGAAGTCCCGTTCCTCGTCCGCAGTTGGATGATATCGAACGAGCATGTGGCAATCATGATGACCCTACAAGAAATTAGATGGCAAAGTGGTTTCCGAGAGAAATGAGTGCATTAAGTATTATTCTCTAGGAAGAGGAACATTCGGAAGCAATAAAACCACTCAGTGAAATCAAAATCCATCAAATAATCCCTATCAACTACCACATGCTTCTTTGTGCTTTTGCCTTTTAAGGTTATGTGTTAATCTGCGAAAAAGGATGAATTCGTAGTGGCACAAATGGAGAAGAAGGCATGAAAACGCAGTGAATATTGGATGATAAATCATGGTTTTAGGAGTTGTCTTTTTTTCCTTAAGTTTGTTATACCATTAGTATATTTAAATGTCTAACTCTTCCCCGTTAGTTTGAAGACATAAAGTTAAAACCGGTCTTTGTTCCCCCCAAATAAACTCTGAAATGAAGTGATATGGCTAAGACAGACCGTAGTGGAGTGCAATAATTTTAAAAGAATCTTCGCCAGAGGACCAATACATGCACGCTATCCTGTGTGTGTGTGAGAAATCCTCTCATCAAAACCGGTTCAAGCAAAATAGATTGCACCTTTCCGACTGAAAACTTGGAGGTCGGTAATCACCTGAAGAAGATTCACCAAAAATTCTTTCAAAAAACATAATTTGCAATGCTCAAGTTTGGTGCGTTAATTTTTACTCTCTGAACAAGCACTAATAACCCTATTGGTGTAATGATGAGTGACCAAAACTATCATCGGTATTCAGCTGGAAATAATCACATCGTGGATCCACCAGGTAAAGTCCGTCGCTGTTGCGTGTGATCTTACCTCGGAACTCGAGGAAGTCACAACGATGAAACTGGATCCATAGCTATTCTGAGTGATTCAATAATAAAGTGATTATTTGGAGGTGGACGGTTCACTGTTTATTGTGGATTATTCCATCACTGGGGGTCCTATGTCAAATCACACATGAGTCTCACTTCCAGCATTTGACACACTTCGCTTTTTGCCTTGGATCTTTACATGAGCGTTCTAATCACTGGCAGTTGGCTTCAGTCTTGAATTTTAAACCGCGCGACTACAATGATGGCTTTCGCCATGTCTGATATCGTTGCATTCCTAGATTTTATATAAACTTGGCCGCTTTGCGCTTAGGATTTACCTTTGGAACGGCCGAATAGAACAATCATTCCCTGGGGAAGTTTGAACGTTTTGACTTTATCATTAGATGTGGAAGCTGATGATGACACTGTCCAACAATTACATCATACTCTACCAGCAGAACGATCTAGAAAAATATAGTTTTGGTCATCTCATTGACGGACTCAGGAAAGCAATGAAACAGTAGATTTAAACTGGGCATTTATGTGCTTACTTTTATATTCATCGAGATCAACGCCTTTTCTTTGAGCTCATTTACGGAAGTGTTAACTGTCACGTGGTGATATTTGTAAACAACCTATAAATTCGAGAGAGAGAGAGAGAGAATAAACGGAGATAAAGTAACCCCGAATTAACTAAACAGCAATAAAAAATGAATTTCTCAACAAAGAAATTCGCAATACCTGGTAGCAAAATCTCTATATCTGAAAAGCAATTCAGAAGGTAACACTCCAAGAGCTTGGACATATCCTGGGTGAATTGAGTAGACCGGCCTTGACCATCGAATGCCACTTGATTGGAAGTGAGCACAGGGGCAAAATATGCAAACGCATTCTCTAGGATTTATCAAATCATCCCGACAAAACACCGAGTAAGAATACTCAAGCATTACCCATCGCTCATAACGAACCCACCTTATGTGTTGAAGAGCGCACGAACTTTACCTTCTGGCTATCCCTTGCTGCAACCAATCACGTGTTACAAACACGCACGCGTACATAAACAAACAGTCATACATGCGATTAAACTTAACTAGACTTCTTAACTCACTTCATTTGTCTACATTATTTAATATAATACGAGCGTGACTGATTATAATATAAGAAAGGAATTCCTCTCGCACTGTCCGTCTTCGGACTTCCTGTTGGAACTGTACATCTGTGGAAAACATATAGAAGCCACCTGTTGTTGATATTTCTCCAAGCAGCTAAACAACTACCGATCGATGTTGTGTTGACTAATACATAAAAACGACGGTGATAAATTCACTTCTATGTGGATGCAATGGAAGGAACAGAGACGTTGACACGATGTGACAGGCCTTCATTGTCCACTGTACTGCGTTCATGAACCAAAGTCCCCTTATAGATGACCCCGATTTCGAAATTATACCCTATTGGTTTTGATTTTTTTAGCTTCGCGCTGAAAAATAGTTAGGTAAACCTAGGGCCTAAGCAATAGGATCACTTATTGATAGTTAGCTTGCGGTTTGCTGTTCTACAATTCATAATCGCACAATTCGGAATAATTTTTAAATGGTTTTGAAATTCGAGATAAAAAAGCATGTTGCATTGAGAACGTATAACCAAGGGTTCGGTTTAGGAGTAAAGTACTGAGCAAATGACTTTATTCTCGATGCCTATGAGAGAAAGAATAAATAAACAATTTGTAAAACATCCTTTTCCCTTTATCGATATCAACAACACAATAAGACATATGTGGGCAGATTTGATATTAACCATCAATTTCGCGAGCTCTAATTCAGCTGTAAACGCACATTTATATGATCATGTAAATGAAAGAAACATAGGAGTTGAAATGAGTCATTTAAACAAGGTGTAAGACAAGTGAGTTGAGTGATTTGTGTTTGGTCAGGGGGTGAGGTCAAACTAGATGACAAAATTCGATATGGAGGCGAACTGGTCTGAACGATGTGTTGTATGTGCTGGAGGACGGGGAAGGGAAGGACGCGTTATGTCATGCTATAGTAGGAAGGTGTCAGGTGTGACATCATCACTACCAAGGCAACAACAGTTGCGTCACGAATGTCTTTAACTCCATATCAAATTTTGTAATCTAACTTGATCTCAATCCCTGACCATGATCATATAATTGTGCGTTTACAGCTGAATGAGAGCACTCGAAATTGATGGCCACATAGGTCTTCATGTGTCGATGAAATAAACATTTTTCGTAAATTTATTCCCTTCCATTTTGTCACTCAGGATTTTACTTCGCTTACATGAAGTTATTCTCCTCCTCATCATCATCATCCAAGTCATTTTTACGAACTGTCAATCGAGTCTTTGTGACTCGGGGTCAAAAAGCCTCGTTCGAAAGTCAGTGGCCTGTACCCAATGTTGTACCATCTATGTACGATTATTCATAAAGTTCGACGTTTCCTAATTTTTGGTAATAACTATTAACGCTGGTCCAATGTTATCTAATAGTAATTGCATTCCAAAAAAATCGAATCTCCCGTCAGCTGTTTCAATCCAATACCATAAATATCGTCTGCGTAAAATAACACACCATAAGAGAAGAAATTTTATGAAACGACCACTCTGTTTCACTTTAATCTGATCAGTACACTGATTCTTTTGCATGCTGCTGGGGAAGTGACTGAAATGTATGAGAAAAACCAACAAAAGATGTAATTTTTAAGTGAATTTTAATATGAAACTCACCGAACTATCTGCCTTTTTCCGAAATACATGTCTCAAACCCACGAAAATTTTAAGATTTAAACTTCAAAGTTAACTCTATTGTTTGGGTGCCGTGCAACGACCTAATATCATATTGCTTTGTTTCACTCTCCTTCCATTTCTGCCAAATTATTTTAATTCAGAGGTATGTTTATTAATTAATTGTGCAAGGCATGTCGTATAAAATAAGCTTGTATAATGCACAAGCCAAAAAGGGATGTAATCCAGAACAGCGATAGAAGAACATGCTGAACACTGACTTTATAACACGGTCAACGAAATCGGCGACTGAGAGCGTTTTACTTTTGACGTACCTGATTGTCTGTTACTTCGTTCAAAATTTTCACACATAGAGATCGACCTTCAAGAACTTGCTGGTTTTGTAGAAGCGTTCTACATAAAAAAGGGATCAAATGAATGTTTGACGGAACACAGTTGTGAATGAATGATGAGTAAGCGAGAAGCTTATCTAACTCTAGTCACTTCCATTGATCAAACTGCCTGGGAAATCAGCAACCGGGGAATGAGAAATAATGATTTCAACGAATAAATTTTTCGTTTCTCAGAGGAACAATCCAGTTCTTCACCAAGCATGTGTGTGCATATGTATGAATATGATTGTTTAGATTTCAGTTCTCGAGATATTTTGAGTTGTCCACGGGCTTTACATATCCTACCGGTAATCCTCTGAAGGAGGACGAAATTTGTGTTCTGTGCTCTTTGTTACCCATCACATAAATAACTCACACACACATACACACACACACAATACCAGTCTTAGATCAAGTTATACATCCTACTGCAGGCAAACCAATGCCATTTTCATGATCGGCTGTTTGCGCTCTCGTATGGAGATGTGCCTTCACACACACACATACACACACACGCCTCTCTGCGCACAAATAAATTCAGATTGCAGTCCGATTGTTATTTTTTCTGTGTGCGGTGAGGTTGCATTTGTTGTATTGTGATGCCAAACTATCTAGGACTCATTCATGCTGGAGAACTTGTTTGGCGCTTTGTGTTGCACTGAACGTTCCACAGACTAAGGCCCGAGTGCTACAGTCCATTGTTCGGAAGATGGACATGTTTATTCACCGATGGGAAAAAAGTTGACCCCACCATCACATTTGCTATCACCATTGTGGCACAATTTCGACTTTGGACAATTCGATATCATGCATGTCCAGGAGTAAAATCTTGTAGGTCTTTCAAATCGTCAGGTGTTTAAATAATGTCACTCTGCAGATATTTAAATGCTGTCGGTATAAGTCGTCATGTTGTATCAAAAGCCATACATGACGTGGATTTGAATTTCACCAAGTTCACTGAATCCCGCAATTCAAACACAAATAAATGATGATCGCTTGGGACAGTTGTCTAAGGTGTCTAGCGGTGCATTTCATGATGACAATCAACTTTTACAGTTAAAGCCAAACGTGCATGTGTTCCATAGTGGGGAAGGAACAATTTGAGGATTTCGTTAAAAGTCACGCAGTATAATGTGGAATAGAACCAACTCGTTTGACGTGAGACATGTTGTCAAATTATCCCCTCAGGATTAAAACAAACGGGGAGGATTGCATAAAGTAAACATTTTCTTTGCATCCTTACAGTCCTATAGTACGCTCGCTTCTACATGTATACACACACACGTATTTTGTTGTCTGATTTAGTTAAATTCAACTTTTACTCGTGACTAACAGTAACATTATAGAGACAGCAATTGTTTTCTTACGTTAGCATCATATATAAAGCGGCCCCACCAAACATGTGGCAGTAGTCCGGCAAACAGAATGACCGCGTTTGCAGTATCCCAACTGATTGGCCCAAAGCGTGGTAACTTGAGCCCTTTACCGCTTTCCGTTCCTTTTGGTTAATATTGTCAACTTCTGTATGCAGTCGCATAGTGAATAGTGATGTCCATCCAGCAATCGCTCAATGGAGGTCTTGCTGACAGAGGTACTCGGGAAGTCTGTCTCCATGCGTTCCTTTAACTGCCTCAATGTGGATGTAGGGTTCTCATCAACAACATCACATAAATATTTTGTGAATTGGTCGTTGAATTTAGTCTTATAAGACCCAGGCTTTAGTGTTACTTCCCGATCTGTGGTTGCAATACCACGATATGTTTTGATCTTGATGCCGAGGTGTTTTGCAACTTCTTTCAAATCATCATTTCTGCGTGCATATTCAATTACTCTCTGTCGACCTTCCGCACTGGTGAAGCGATAGGGCCGTTTCTGTCCATCCGACTTAACGTTCTCCATATTGCAGATGAGTGCAATGGTAAGCAAGGTACAACAAATATAACGACCACCTATCTTGGTGAGCTTTTATATCCCCAAAACCGACGAAACAAATGCCGCATGACGAGACTGCAGAAAAAATCAAAGATGCACTACTCCTGTGAATAAAAATCTCAAATATGTCTTTCTTGAACGATGTTCATTATTCACGATGGCTAAAGGAATGCTGGTAAAGGTTAGAGGATTGTGGCTGATGGCTGAAGCATGAATTAGTCATATGTAGTTTGAGAAGTCTGTGGCAATTCACGATTTGAACCAGATCAGTTGGCATGTTTTCAATGGGTTCCTATCAAGCTGCTCTACACTAATCGCTGCTGAGCAACCGGGTGTCCCAGTAGTTTTTATCTTTAACAATGCGCCCGTTCATCGGAGAGCTTTGGATGCGCAGTTAAATGCCAACCACCATGCCCGATTTCTCCCACCATATAGTCCCTTTTTCAATCCATTGGAAGAGGTCTTTAGTAAATTCAAGCAGGTGAGAGATTTTATTCTTTTAATTCCCTTATCATTTAGTATATTAAAAACTGGTTCACTGAAAACACTGAAGCCACACGAGATGTACC